GCCAACTACCGGTAATACGGAATAGAAGGTGGAGTACTTGGTCATGTTATTGTAGAAAGCAACACTCCATCTATGTATGTAGTACCCAGGGTACACTGCAGTAATATGTAGTTGGTGCGTGATCATCAGTTGCCCAAATACAGTCCTTTCCCCTCAAACGTTGGAGCCGAGCCCGACAGTTGATAGCCAGCCCATTATATTGTTTGCGTACCGTAAAGTTAACGCTATTTGTTGTCATCACACCATGTAAATAATCGTTCGACGGCATCCCTGCTCTTCATGCAAGAATATCTCGTTGGGAAGTGCTGAAGACGTTTCGTTGATGCTGCTGGTCAAGCCAAAGCTGCAAGTCCTGTACGAGTCCTTTGCACGCCTTGAGCTTGGACTTGAGCAGGGTGTTGGTGTCCAATGCGTCCGTCAGCCATATCCTCTTTTACTATTTGGATATGTATTACCAGTAGTTTGTTTATACAGACAAAACTGCGTGGGGTGAGGATAGGGGTGGAATGGGGTTCACCCTGGGTTGAAAGCGAGATCCATGTCGAGGAAATCGAACAATTTTGGAGCCAGTTAGTTGACTAGGTGGGAGAGGCCCGTACGTTGGGCCGTCTAGTGAGGTATAATAAGAGGTGCAGTCATCAGGTGCGAATTTAGACATAAAATCAGCCGCCTGATTGCCTTCCCGTGGCCGGTGCCGCCAGGCAGGGGTCGAAATAGAATAATGCATAAAACATAAATATTTAGAGGTACAGACAGTATTATTATGCATAATGTATTTTCGAAAATGAAAAAAATATGCATTATGTATTTTGACTCGATTTGACAATGACACATGTAGGTGGCATCCGACATCAAACCGACAAATTTGGAGCCGATGATTGGATAACCGACAACTTTTTGAATTTTGATTGGTCAGATATTTTATAGGCAATCTGATTGGGCGATGTAGTTGTCGGTTGAGCAACATATCACTCACATATAACATATACAGCTTGCTATTGGCTGAAAACACAGTCGTATCGACATACTCCGGAACACATGACCTCGACTCAGCATCCCAAGAACAGAAATACGTAAGTGGAGCAGAGCTCGACAAACAAGGTGACGAGTTTTGACTAGTACGAGTAAGAGAAGTAGCTGCTGTGCTTGGTGTATGGATGACGTACTGTACATCCATAACCAACATCATTAGACAGTCTACTGTGTGTGTGTAGTAAGCTTAAGTTACATGCCGATTTCTTGAGGCATGTGATTTGATGGGTTCATTGGCCAAAGATATAATTATAAATGGGTACAATATGTCGCAAATCCGAACACGATGAAAATATTTGCCACCTCGTTAGAGTCTGTCCCGAGCCTGTTTCCGTCGGCAAGACCCCTCGACCAAGCTTCAAGGCTGGGACACACCCCTTTCAGATACGACAAGTGCCGGAATAATTTGACTCGAATCTGGAAGTGCGCGTCGTCCATCTGAAGACGTCACTTTGCCATTTACCTCGCCTTGACCTAATGACCAACATTCTCGCTTTCCTCACCGTGTTTGCCACCGTGGCCAGTGCGACCGCAAACCAAAACGACAACCACGAGCTCGATGCGGCCACGGAGGCGTGCTTGAGGGCAAGGCGTTCACTCGATGGCGAAGAGCCGCAATTATGCGACGCCGACCAAGATTACCTGGGTTCTAGTTGCTACGACAAGTGTCCATCCGGCACGACCCGCGTTGGCTACGGCTGCGTTTCGAATTGCCCCCCTGAGTTCACGGACAAGGGAAGGACGTGCTTGAAGAAGGGTGAATACAGCCGGGGGGTTGGGTACCCGTGGAAGTTTGGCGACACCTTCTTTGATTCCACAGGCATGTTCCAACGCTGCGAAAACGACTACGGGGAGGGCAATTGCGAATGGTATGGCGCGGTTGTGTACCCTAAGTGCTCGCCGGGCTTCACTGCCGTTGAGTGTTGTGATTGTCACCCCCCCCTCCCCGACTGCAAGTCCTTTGGCTTGCTTCCCGTGGAAGGCTTGTTGTGTCGCAAGAAAGTGATCCCTTTGAAATCTTATTCCCCCAAGTGCCGTCCCTACGAGGATCTCGTTCGAGGCCGTTGCTTCCCCAAGTGCAGGCCCTGGTACACTCCTGGTCTACCAGTTTAGATGCGCGAATTAGTCTTAGCATGGTTGCAAGGTTTCTACCGGAGCCTTTCCTACTTCTAGTGGACCTCACAGCACATGCACTGATTCCCACCTTTAAAATAACGAACTCCGTTTAACCGCAGATAGCA